ATTATAGTGTAGAAATAAAAGACTAATGCTTCGGCTTCATGCATTTCGGAACGCACCCAAACTAACCCAATATAAATGTGAAACAACGCGAATTTAAGATAGTATGATTATTATAAGTCATCATAATCTCTTATAAAAGGTGGTTTTTCTTGCCAGTGAATAATGTAATCGAAAATATCCCGAGGTACCTCACATTGATCGAGTTCCACGGCTAAACTGTAATAACGCTGACGAAGAAGATATGCTGCCGACTTTGGTTGGCGATTACGAGTAAAAATCCCCTTCTTATTTCCTCCAACACGAGTAAAAGCTGTAAATCACAATAGTTATACAGAAATTAGTCACAAAATGCGATATTAGTTTAAAAACTCACTTTGAGCGGTTTTAAAATCTGCGAAATTCCACAAAAATTCACCAATAAACCACTTTTGAGATCTAAGGTTATCAAAAGCTTTAAAATGCTTGCCAAGTAGGGATCGCTGATATTCTTCCGACCAAACATATGCAGGTAACTGTGGGACGGTGAAAATTTGACACATGCATATTTAATGAGAATTCTGTGCTCAGAAATGAAACAAGTCTCTTATTTGCGCAACTAAATTCCAATTCGGTATTTAAAAGTGGTTGCGCATATTATAGTGTAGAAATAAAAGATACATGCTTTGGCTTGATGCATTTCTGAGGGCAGGGAATGTATTTTATAAAATACTTACAGAATGCAATCCCTCAAAAGTATCTGCGCCATATTCGGTCATTATAACAGGTTTATTATGCATTTCATGCCACAATGTAGCTTCATCTTCTACATGTTTGGTTATCATATCCAAATTACCAGTGTTTTGGTACCATGCATTATACCTATTGAAACTCACAATATCCAAATATTGCCCCTGTTTATAAATTCATATGTATGTACGCATGTACGTTTGAATAAACATTCAATTTTACTTATGCAGATATTCAATACACATATATATTTACCAGCTTATCTTTTTTGGCTT